TATATAGGGTTTCCAAGGATCAGCTGATGAGCTTGAACCTTGTGGTTCAAATCAACTTTGCAGTCCGATGAATTAACCCACAGTGCCACACCAGGAGTCTGTAACATCACAGAATGTTTCATTTAGTAATCAAACCTTTGTAGTTTTTTTTAACTTTTACAACAATCGTCTTATGCAATCTTTGTTTAAGATTTTTGAGATAATTTTCTACGATAATTATCCTTTTGTGATCATTTTCTGTTATAAGTTCATTTTGTTAGTGGGTTTTCTTTTCATTTTTCTCCTTTTCTGTTGTGTTAATGTTTGTTAAATCTTTCTGATTTGCCTCTTTCTTATTTTGATGTGAAGGTGTATTCATTTTCTTTGAGGTTACCCTGTAATTTATTCATTTCTGGTTCCCATATTTAGTTTGGACTCCTGATATGACACTATAGGATCAGCACTGGACTGTGACCCACAAGGTCAGCAGTTCAAACCCACCAACAGCAATTTAAATACTAACAACAACATATCTGGATTGAGTTCTGGGTGGTGCTGTCATGTATGTTAATGTCAGGTTGTTGCTTGCTGTTATTGGTTCTCAGCCCAAAGAGCATCCTCTAGTATTTTTTGTCAAACTGGTTTTGTTTGACAAATTCCTTTAATTTCTGCTCATCTGGAAATGTCCTAATTTCACCATCATATATGAGGACAACTTTGCTGGGTATATGCTTTTGGGTTGACAATGTTTTTTCCCTTTTAGAGTTTTGTGTATGTCATTCCACTGCCTTCTCACATACATGGTTTCTGCTTAGAAATCAGAGTTTAGTCTTATTGCTTCTCCTTCGTATGTAACTTTTCATTTTTCTAGAGCTGCTTTCAAGATTCTTTCCTTGTGTTTGGTTTTGGAAACTTTGATTATGATATATATGTCTTGGTGATTTTCTTTTGGATCTATCCTGTTTGGCATTTGTTCAGCTTTTGGTATGCATATCTTCTTATGTTTCATGTTAGGGAAATTTTCTTCCAATTACTTTTCAACAATTTTCTTGGTGCTTTTTATTGTCATTGTCTGTTATGGTCACTGTAAGTTATTCCTCTTCATGTTGTCCTGCGTAACTCTTGGGCTGTTTTTAGTTTTGTTTTGTTTTTCATTCTTTTTTTCTGCTTGTTCAAGCATACTATTGAAAGATTTTTCTTGCAGTTCACCAATTCAAGCTTCCATTGTTTTAAATCTACTTCTTTGTACTTTCAGTGAATTGTCCAGTTCTAAACTCTTAGTATTAACTTTCTGCGATTTTAATTGCAAGTTTTGTATTGTTTCAAATTTTGCATTTACTTGGTCTATTTGGTCTTGTAGTGCTTTTTCCTAAATTCGTCTTAATTTTTTTTCTTGTATTCTCCTTGCTCACCTCAATCTGTCTGTCGATCATTTGTAGATACCTAAATATCACCTTTTGAATTCCTTTTCAGTTAGTTCCATTGGTTTATATTCCTCAGAAACGTTTTTTGGACATGCATCCTGGTTATTGTGCTATTCTATCTTGTTTCTTTGTGTTAATTAAAATTGTCTGTTGTCATTGGGACACTATGGGTTGCTGTATTTGAATTTAATTGCTGATTGTATCTTGAAGTGTTCTTAGGCTCTCACCAACTGTTTCCTGTGGGTGTAGTTAGATAATGGACACATATGCACCCTTCACTGGCTGGTGTTGGTGGTTATGTGCTGTGGAGTCGAGTCCGAATCTTAGCGGCCATGTATAGGGTTTCCGAGGCTAACTGTTTATAGGAGCAGAAAACCTCATCTTTCTTGCACAGAACAGTTGGTAGTTTCGAACTGCTGACCTTGGTGTTAGCAGTTCTACTCAGAATCCCTATGCTACCAAAGTCCCTTGACTGGTGTTAGCTGCTGCTTACTGATGATTGGGTGACAGAAGAGCTGGTATTGGTGCATTTCTAGTGGGTAGAGCTGCAGAAGGTACAGTTGTGGCTGGGCTGTATGGGAATGATTCCTGAGTGGGAAAAAGGAGAACCTCCCCACAATTTCCACCACACACACCAGGAAATAAAACAGAATAAACAAGTATTCAGCCAACAATGAAAAGAGAAAATATTAAAGGAGAAAAACAGACAGGGACCAGAAAAAAAGAATATAATAAGTAAATACAGAAAAGAGGGATAGGAAAAGGATCTACAGAAAAAATAAATAAATAAAAGGAAGAAGTACAAATAACTCTTAGAAAACTAGGGAGAGGCAAATGAAAAGAGAAAGAGAACAGGGAAGAAAGATCAAAGTGGGGGGAGAAGAAAAGAGGAAATAAGAGGCAGAAGAAAAGAATGAAAAACAAAAGCGAAGATGTTGTTGTTGTTGTTAGGTGCCATTGAGTCAGTACCGACTCACAGCAACCTCATGCACAGCAGACCGATCCTGGGCCAACCTCACTCCTGTTGCCATGCTTGAGACTACTAATGCTGCCACTTGGCCAATCCATCTCGCTGGGGTCTTCCTCTTTTTTCTCTGACCCTCCACCCTACCAAACATGATATCCTTCTCCAGCGACTGGTCCCTCCTGACAATATGGCCAAAGTATGAGAGACGAAGTTTGTCCATCCAGGCCTCCAAGGAGCACTCTGGCTGCACTTCTTCCACCATGGATCTGTTGATTCTTTTGGCAGCCCATGGCACTTTCAATATTCTCCTCCAACACCATAACTCAAAAGCATCGATTCTTCTATGGTCTTATTCAATGTCCAGCTTTCGCATCCATATGAGGTTACTGAAAATACCATGGCTTGGGTCAGGCACACCTTAGTCTTCAAGCTGACATCTTTGCTCTTCCACACTTTAAAACGGTCTTGTGCAGCAGATTTGCCTAATGCAATACGTCCTTTGAATTCTTGACTGCTGCTTCCAAGAGTGTTGATAGTTGATTCAAGAAGAATGAAGTCCTTGACAACTTCAATCTTTTCTCCATTGATAAGAATGTTGTTTATTTGTCCAATGGTGAGGATTTTTGTGTTCTGTACAATGAGATGTAATCCATACCGAAGGCTGTGCTCTTTGCTCTTCATCAGTAAATATTTTAAATCTTCTTAACTTTCAAGCAAGCAAGGTTGTATCATCTGCATATCATAGGGTTGTTAATGAGTCTTGCTCCAATCCTGATGTCACATTTTTCTTCATATAACCCATCTTCTCGGGTAAATTGCTCAGCATAAAGGTTGAATAAGTGTGCTGAAAGAATACAACCCTGTCACACACCTTTCTTAATTTTAAACCATTCAGTATTCCCATGTAATGTTCAAACTACTATCTCTTGGTCCATGTATAGATTCCTCATAAGCACAGTCAGGTGTTCTAGAATACTCATACTTTGCAATGTTGTCCATAGCTTGTCAAGATCCACACAATCGAAAGCCTTTGCATAGTCAACAAAGCACAAGTAAACATCTTTCTGATATTGTCTGCTTTCAGCCAAGATCCAATGGACATCAGCAAGGATATCCCTCGTTCCACGGCCTATTCAGAATCTGGCTTGAACCTCTGGAAGTTCTCTGTCAATGTATGCTTGCAGCTGTTTCTGTATTACTTTTAGCAAAACTTTACTCGCATGGGATAGCAAAGATATTGTCCGATGATTTCTGCACTCCACTGGGTCCCCTCTCTTTGGAATGGGCACAAATATGGATCTCTTCCAATCAGTTGGCCAGATAGTTGTCTTCCAAATTCTTGACAGAGATGAATAAGTGCCTCCTGTGCCGCCTCACTTTCTTGAAAGATTTCAATTTCTATTCCATCAATCCCTGGTGCCTTGTTCTTTGCCAATTCCTTCAATGCACCTTGGACTTCCTCCCTAAGTATCATTGTCTCTTGATCATATGCTATGTTTTGAAATGGTTGAATATTAACCATTTCCTTTTGGTACAGTGACTCTGTGTATTCCTTCCATCTTCTCTTGATGCTTTCTGCATCATTCAATCATTTGCCCAGAGACTCTTTTAATAATTAAAGTCGAGGCTTGAATTTTTTCTTCAGTTCCCCCAGCTTGAGAAATGCTGAGCATGTTCTTCCTTTTTGGTTTTCTGATTCCAGATCTTTGCACATTTTTTTGTAATATTTGGCTTTATCTTCTTGAGCTAATCTTTGAAATTTTCTGTTCAGCTCTTGGACCTCCTCATTTCTTTCATTTGCTTTAGCATCCCTACACTGGAGAGCAAGTTTCAGTGTCTCTTCTGACATCCATTTTGACCATTTCCTTCTGTCTTGTCTTCTTAATGACTTTTTGCTTTCTTCAAGTATGAGGTTCTTGATGTCATCCCACAACTCTTCTGGTCTTCCGTCTTCAGTGTTTAATGTATCAAATCTGTTCTTCAGATGATCTCTAAATTCAGGTGGGATATATTCAAAGTCATATTTTGGCTCTCGCAGACTTGTTTTCATTTTCTTCCTAGCTGAGTCTAGCTCAAATTGCCAACCTATAGAATCATGAACAAGTAAAACTATCGTGGTCTTACAAAACGGTTCTTCCATTTTCCATGAACTTCTGAACCCCCCTCATAAATCACAATGTTTTAAAGTTACCTTTCATGCTGCAAAGTCTGAAACAATCACCTACTTTTCCTTTCCTCCTTCTATTTTAAATTGACAGAAAAATGGCTGAATATATAAACTTAGCCCATTTCTCTTTGAAAACTCATAAATAATTCTCTTGCTTGTGGCTACCCTTTTTTTGAACTTAAAAGCTATTTTTAAAAAATAAATTACCAAAGTCAGAGTCTTACAGAGCAGTCATTCCAGTTCACCTACTCACTAAGCAGCTAATGTGTGCCAGAACTGTGCTACATATTGACCCTATCAGTGAATAAACAAACCCTCTGTACTCAAAAGGTTGACACACTGGAGAGTATGGCTGAATCAATTCCACAATACATTGTATTTTGATAATATACACATTATTATATCTATAATTTTCAAGGGAATAATAACTAAAGAGAACATACATATTAATAATTACTCTTACCCTCATGCCAAGCACCAAGAACCCAATCTCTTCCATTAATGGGTACTTGCTGACCTGTTGCTGAATCTTCTCTGATGAAGCAAAAGGATCATAGCTTTTTCGTCCTATCTTTACATCCATTATACAGGGCTTATTAAATTTATGGGTCACATCTTCCAGTTTTAGATATAAATCTGTTATTAAAGAAAATAAAAACTTTAATTAGCAATAACAATATTTAACTACTAAAATATCTGCCAGAGGAAAACAAAGTTACAACAAATCTGTATTTAATCATTATTATTACTCCAGCTTAAAAAAAAAAAAGACTAACCAACAAAATTATAGCTAGTATAAATAGAGGATAAGCACTCGTTCTCCATGTGTTTGAACCACAAGGTTGGCAGTTCACACTCACCAGTTGCTCCTTGGAAACGCTATACAGGGTCACTATGAGTCAAAGTCAATTTGATGGCACTTAACAACAACAACATAAGTATCACAAAGAATCTCTGGCCGGAAGTGGATTAAATAATGCTCAACTGTTTTTAAAAAATTATGAATGCACATATTAAAGAAATTAAAAAGACAATTTCAAAAGCTGATCCAGAATATATTCCATTTTAAATGTAATTCTGCCATCTATACTTCAGTAGTTTTCTTAATAAAGTATTTTAATATCTTTAAGTTTATTCTTCATTTGAAATTAATTACTAATAGGGCACAACAGCTGTTCTCTATTTGCCTGGAGTAACAAAGGAACAAGGAAAGTCAGGTATAGTAGGTATAGTAGATTATGGAATGTGTGGTTAATTGCCTCCATTAACAACTGCCACCTTTGCCATGAGACCAGAACTAGATGATGCCCGCTACCATAATTAAGCATTTTGATTAATGACTCTACAGAAAAATACTGATCAAAAGAGGGAAAACACAGAACAGAATTTGAAGACTAGATGAACCCATGAAATTATAACCTTTTCATCGTTAAACCAAAAAATACCACCTTTAAGTCTTTCTTTCCACCCCAGAATTCTTAAAACAAAATAAGTTTAGCTTAAACAGTAAAGCATTTGTCTTGAGCACTATGTTATTTTAAGACTTATTCAAAAGGAAACTCACAAACAAAATGAACTAAGCACAAAAATTATGTAGAACAAAGAAATAAGGAGCAACACATAAAAACACACAGAAGAATTACAGCAATCAATTCATAATTATCAATAATTACAATGAATGTAAGTGGATCAAATGTATCAGTCAAGAGACAGAGAGCAGAATGGATAAGAAAACAGGATCCTTCAATATGCTGTCTATAAAAGACACATCAAAAAGATAGACACAATCAAAATGTCCATCAACAGAACACAATGGAATACTATGCAACACTGAAAAATAATGATAAATCTGCAACACCCCACAACATGCCAGTCACAAAAGGACATGTATTGTATGAGGCGCCAATGTTGTAAAAAGTTAAGAAAATGTTTTCTGAATAAAAGAAACCATCAATGATGGTTACAGGATAGTAGTTGTTGTTAGTGCCGTCAAGTCGATTCCGACCCATAGTGACCCTGTATGGGGTTTCCGAGGAGCAGCTGGTGAGCTTGAACCGCCGACCTTACAGTTCAATCGGCTTTGCAGTCTGGTGCATTAACCCACAGAGCCACACCAGGACTCCTACAGGGGTAGAAAACTTATTCATAAGCTAGAGGGTAGGTACATGTTAACATGGGTGACAGGGAGGAATACAATAGTTAAAGTGAATGTTGGTTGTTGCTGTAAGTACTGATGAGTCAGTTCCTGTATAGGGCTTTCTAGGAGTGGCTGGTGATGGTAGTGGTGTGCTGTGGAGTAGGTTCCAACTCACAGAGATCCTGCATAGGGTTTCCAAGGCTCTAAATCTTTATGGGAGCAGAAAGCCTCATCTTTCTCCCGCGGAACAGCTGATAGTTTCGAACTGCAGACCGACTCATAACCACTACACTACCTGATGCTTTTCAGTTATGGTATTGGAGTAGAATATTGAAAGTGCCATGGGATGCCAAAAGAACAAACAGATCTTTGTTGGAAGAAGTGCTGCCAGAGTGCTCCTTGGAGGCCAGGATGGACAAACTTCATCTCTCATACTTCAGATATACTGCAAGGAGGGACCAGTCGCTGGAGAAGGATATCATGTTTGGTAATGTGAAGGGTCAGAGAAAAAGAAGAAGACCCCCCCCCAAGCGACATGGATTGGCAAAGTGGCAGCATCAATGGGTTCAAGCGTGACAACAATTGTGAGGTTGGCCCAGGATCAGGCAGTGTTTCGTTCTGTTGTACACAGCATTCCTATGAGTCGGTACCGACTTGATGGCACCTAAGAACAACAACAGGAGTGGCTGGTGAGTTTGAACCTCCAACCCTTGGTTCAAATCAGCCTTGTTGTTGTTAAAGTGCTTCAAGTCGGTTCCAACTCATAGGGACCCTGTACAGGGTTTCTGAGGAGTGGCTGATAAGCTTGAACCATCAACTTTGCGGTTCAAACAGACCTTGCATTCCAGGATATTAACCCACAGTGCCACACCAGGACTCAACCTTGTGGTTGAATGCTTATCCAACAGCGCCACACCAGTGAAAACAGGTAAATAATGCTAACTGTTGGTACATGGAGGGGTTTGCAATCACCTCAATGAAGCAAAGTATGATTTTCTGAACATAAAATTGAAGATTTGCTCTGTAAACCTTCACTCAATTCATAAAAAAAAGTTCACTCAATTCACTGAAAAGTGAAAATAATTATTTATATGGAATCAAATTGACAACAGCAAACATTAGATAGGAACCTTACTCGTGGGAGGTGGGGTGGGCAGTAAGTTTATATTAAGAAGGAACAACTCAGAAAAGATGAGAATGGCCGCACAACTAGAGGAATGTAATCAGTGTCACTGAACTGTACATACAGAAATTCTGGTCTTCTTTTGCGGTTTATATTCTCAACAACAACAAAATAAAATAAATTGCTAATAGAAATAGACCCTTTCCAAAGAGTATACAACAGAATTACAGTCCAACTTACATATAACCAGTGAAACTTTGTGATGTGCATCAAAACATTGTTATTATTACTATATTATTATGTTAAAGATGTTTTAGTGTATGTAGAAGTGTTTCTTTAATGTGTATTCATACATAGAAAAGTACAATATATATACTAAGACAAAATTTTACTAACGTTGAATAGGAACTATATCTAACTTATATACAAATTTCAATGCAAGACAAACTTAGGAATGAAACACTTTTGAAATCTGAGGACTGCCTGAAGAGGTTAAGAAAGGTAAACTACATGAACAAAAGAATGAAATTGGGCTCCTTCAACTCAAATCATATATAAAAATTAACTCAAAACAGATCAATGACCTAAACAGAAGAGCTACAACTGTAACATTCTGAGAAGAAAACAATAAATCTTTAGGGCTCTGGATTTGGCAATGAATTATTAGATACAACACCAAAAGCACAAAAAGAAAAACAGATCAACTGAACTTTATCAAAACTGAAAAATGTTTATTCATCAAAGGAGCCTTGTGATCCAGTGTTTAAGCATCTAGCTGCTATTCAAAAGGTTCAAACCCACCAGGCACCCACAGGAGAACGATGATGCAGTCAGCATCTCTGGAAAGACTGCAGCCTTGGAAATCCTAGAGATACTGTTCCACTCTGTCCGATGGCGTCACTATAAGTCAGAATTCAAGCAACAGCAAGAGCTTTGGTTTGGGGTTCTGTATATCAAAAGATACTAATTATCTACCTTCAGACTCACTAGAATGGATACTATCATAAAAATGGAAAATAAAAAGTATGGTGAAGATATGGATAAATTGGAATCCTTATTCACTTGTGCTGGGAACATAAAACAGCACAGCTTCTATAGGAAAAAGCTTGGCTCTTCCTCAGAGAAACAAAGAATTACCCTATGACCCAGCAATTCCTTTCCTAGGTGTAAGTCCAAAAGAATTGAAAGCAGTGATTCAAACAGAAAACAGACACTTGTACACCAATGTTCACAGCAGCATTATTCATAATTACCAAATGTGGAAGCAGATAAATGGATGGACAAAATGTGGTATATATCCATACAATAGAATGTTATTCATTCATAAAAAGGAATGAAGCATTGATTCATGCTGCAACATACAAGAACCATGAAAACATTATGCTAAGTGAAATATGCCAGACACAAGTGAACAAATTTTGTACGATTCAATGAATGGATATGAAAGATTTAGATTAGACAAATTCATAGAGATAGAAGTAAATTTGAGGTTGCCAGTAGCTGGGGATAGGGAAACAGGGTACAGAATTTCCGTTTGTGATGTCAGAAAAACTTTTGAAATATTGGTGATAGATGCACATTATGAATATAATGTCACTTAATGTCATACTCATAAAAATGGTTAAAATGACTAATTTTATATGACAATCTACAACAGTAAATTTTTCTTAAAAAGGGTAATCAATGAAAATGATGGTAATGACAAATATATATATTCTAATCTTAGTAATTACAAAGGGAAAAAAAATTATCTTGTTTTCTAGAATATATAAATTTCCAAAAAGATGACCAGGGTACATCTTCTCACAGAAAATTATTATCAATGTAGATTCAAGTATTTAAAGTCCAACTTATCAGATACTGTAATTGAACTATTTACAATTTCAGCTTGAAATAAGGGTCCAAGTCCACTGAGGGAAGAAAGAACCAAAGAAAGAAATTCTTTCCTATTTTGCTACATGAAAGAATCTTCCTCAATAAAGTTCTGGATCAGATTGTGCTTCATGGTTTAGTTACTCAGTGAAAAATGAAGCATCTCTCTTTGAAACTTTATCTCAAAGACAGTGGAGGTTATAGCCTGCTTTCCATCAATTTAATAAATAAAGTTACAGAATATGTATATTTTCCTTAAATTAAAATTTAAAAACTACAAGGGTGAAAGAGAGGCTTTACTCTTTAATGTCCTTTCATCTTCCCTCTCTCGCCAAAACCAGCATAGTTATTAAATTACAACAAAAACTGTGCCAAACACAAAGTGAAAAAAATGTTGTTTGGGCTTGAGAAAATACTGAGTCCCCCAAACAAGAAGAGGTTTAGCTCTCCTCCTTCAAAAGAAAATGAATATAAAATATAAATTTTAACCCTTAAAAAAAAAAA